TTGTGGTAGATTCGGGTCAAACACACATGCCTGCTAGTCTGCACCTTCAAAGGGTGGCCAAAAATGGAGATCCACAAGTAGTGTATGATAGTCAATTGGAGATCCCGAAAGGAAGGTGCTGATAAGTTTTGTTGTAACGGAGTTTCTCAGTTGTTGATTTGCACATGTCTTGATGCAGCTTGCATGACTTTTGTGGGTGTGCTGTGTTGTCACCGGCATGGGGAACATGTTCTTGCGGGGGCATGCGGGTCGCATGCTGGACTTGAAGCAGGTTTAACTGACCTCCGACGGATGCCGTTCGACAGCCTCTTCAACACAAGTGGATTCAGTTGTTCAGCCAAATCATCATCACGATGCTTCATCCATCCGATCTCCTCGTGCCAAAACCATTGAAAACCTCGACTGAGGTTGAAAGACTGTGATTTGAGCCGGCTGATCCCAGATTTGCAGGGCTGGTGGGTTGTGTGGCCCAAACAAACGCTGGGACCTACCGGGACCCAGTAGAGTTTTCAGCAAAAATCGAGAGAAATAGATCTCCAAACCTGCGGGTGGGGACTTTAAGTCGTGAATCTTGAGGAGGCCTTCAATGAATACACCAAGCAATTCACCATTTCAGGAGGTAGCAGGCAGCAGGTCTCGCTTCCAATTCATCACCATGAACCTGGTCAGCATATCAACATGAATGATGTGTCGAAATCCTTGTTTCGCGGGGCTATTTATTAATAGTATAGTGTGACGCGTGTCTTTTGCTGACCAGTGCAAGGTCAAGCACACTTCCGCGTTCGGTGCTCAGTGTGGGCCTCGCCGCTTCGACAGGGCGATGAACCCTTTGTGCTTTTCCGGTTGGGGGAGGAAGGGAAAGAACGAGAGGGATAGTCATGACTATATATAGTTAAGTATGAGAAATCATAAGCGGAATGTGAGCCTAGGGTGAACGAGCCTAGGATGGGGTCACCAATGATGTGCGGTGCGTGTTTTGATGATTTCCTCTAATGTGTCTCCTATGCGTCCCTTACTGTATTTGTCCTGTGTTGGTTCCTTATTTCTCCTGAAGCTTCCCACAAGGGTAGGAGCTTATGTGTTCCTTATATATTTGCCTTTATTTGTCTCTTCAATGTTGGAATGCATGAAAACCCTTACTTGTTTTCTATTTGTCTCTTAAACGTCCTTGAATGTCTCACTCCGGGCTCGTGTTTGAAAATAGGCTCGCAGTTGTGAAGAAGAACAGTCGAGATATGTTGAGACCTTAGCAACAGGAGACCTAAGACCCTAAGTTGAGAGAGTGTATCAACATAATATGTTGAACCTGTCGTTGAGAATCCGTCAGTTGTGAAGAATCCATCAAAACGTTCCTCATCAGCAACCTTGGACAGCCTGGCGGAGTAGGCTTTGGGCCCCGCCAAAATTGGCGGAAGCTGGTTGAGACGAAGAGCATTTTAAATGCCAATTTTGCACAGCGAACTCACTTGCGCATCGCGTACTTTTGCTATCTATATGGAAGAGGTATATGATGTTACTATTTGTAACTTGCGTACACTGCAACCCTGGCCAAGGAACGTAAGCGGGTAGTAAAAGACCTAAGCTTCCACCTCCAAACCGCTACAGTTGCCAAAACAGCTCCGTGCATTAGGTGACCGTTGGGAGTGTGACAGGGCCAGAAGAACAACCGTTGCTCCTGCCCAACATCGTAAAAAACCTGCTGGTTGACTTGATGGTGAAGCGAACCCCGCATTGATTCCTATCTTCTGAGGCACCGCGAGCTATTCCAGAGGCGTGCAAGATGGACCCTGGGAATGGACCTTCCTGGTTTCGACCATTTTCCGAGTACCAACCCAATGGTTTTGGCGCTTCCATGTGGACCTTTGCAGGGGGGTATGCTTCCATTTCGCGTGAAACTGCACCTTGGGAAGGAAGATAGAATGGCAGCATTGATTTATCAGGGTTTGAGGACCAAACAAAGGAACTGTGTAGAATACTTCGTTTGTCTACTCCATGGCCAACAATGGAGGCTTGGCAGGAATGTTTTGCCTTAAATACTTGCCTCAGGAGCTCTAGGGTCCCATCAAAGTACTGAACATCTATCTCATTTGAATGCATTGCGTGGTTTCCTCAGAATCAGGAAAGCCCCCATTCTCCAGGCCGTTCTGTTCTGACCCGGTCGAACCCCCTGTTCTTTCTTCGGCCCCTCCGCTCAAACCCGACAGCACCTGCTTCGCAGGACACCGGCCGCCCGGCATCCATCGTACCTTGGCCGCAGAAGAACGCCTCCACCCGCCTTGGCCGCTGCACGGCGAGCAGGCTCGATCAGCTCGCCGTGAGTGGAGCAAGGCGCGCGAAGCAGCGGGAGACAGCGGTGGACTGAAGAAAATGGCCCTTCGATTCAGGTTGCGCAAGGCTGATGTGTTGTTCTGTTGCTGTTTGGTTTGGACCTTCATTGAGGTAGTTGGATTTTGAATGAGTTGGAGTGGCAGACCTCCAGAAGGTTTCTCTACTGGTAAGAAGGTGCCCTAGGAAGGCTAGTGTCCAATCCGGGTTCGCATGGGTGTGTGATGCCACCCTGGCCCGAATGCAATTCCTGGGCGATTCTGGCCTACGTGGAAACCGGGTTGTGTTTTCATGTTTTTACGGTTTTTCATGTACCACCAAGTGTCAGAGGGAAGTGAAACTAGGTCGAAATAGACTAAGTTATCATTCGAGGCCCGAGGTCAGCGAAATTGACGGAGTTTGTTGGCAATGTGTCTCGTTTATTAGATATAATATGGGTGATACTTATAATTGTTGGACACTTCAGAGATGAGTGAATGAGGAAAGCTGCCTTTTTGAAAGTAGAATGTATCGAACAACGACCTGCCCAGGGTGCAGGGAGAAGATCCTCAGCGGGGTACCAAGTGCAGGAGAACCATGCAAGGTCAATATATACTGTATGGTTTTTATCGGAGTTTTACAAGTAAGTAGAAATAACAATACGTGACGTAACGTGCATGCTCAATTCCTTTAAACCAACAAGCGCCTATTGGCGTCAGCTACATGTGCCGTGGACGCACGTGTATTCTGCATGTGCCGTTTGCATGTTCCGCCCTCAAGAGCAGAACAGGTCATACGCCCCCCCGACGGCTTCCGACGGCTTCCGACATCGAAACTGCAAAAAACGCTTGTAGTTCGTGGATGTGGCGTGAGGAACCTTTGACTGGCTGGTGCGAATCGCAGGGAATGAGGGTGGCTGGATCCAATAGAGATTCCCTTATTCCCTACTAAGCACCAGTCAGTTGAAGGTAGGCTTCGCGGAAACATGAAGTTGCTGGAAGAGGGTCTTTTGTGGAAGAAGACTTTCTTCAAGGGTGGAAGACGTCCTTGTCCACTGAAAAAACCTTCTTTGCCTAGATCTCGTCATCTCGTAGCTTTCTGACCCGTCGACTGAGGCCAAGTCTTTGGCAACTCGTGCGAGGTCAGCTGCTGGGGAGGAGTGGCAAACGCTGAAACGGAAGAGACCTGCGCTGCTTTGGAGACCTGGACTCCACGCAACAATTACTGTGTATCTCAAATTTGATGAACACTAAATTGGTGTATAGAATTGTGTAATTGTGTGGTTTTAAAGGTCCGAATTTGACGCAGCATCCCAGGGCTCTCCCAGCTGCACAGGAGCTAACAGCGTCTCCCAGCTCCTCGAGCTACGCTTTTCGCCACTCAGCTGGTTGGGTGAGAGTCGAGCTGAAGCCAAGTTCCTCGTCAGCCATGGTGAATGTGGCCAAGCTTGCAGAAAGTTTGAAATCCAAAACGAACTTCAAGATTTTGCTTGCTACTTATATCATTTTATATCCATGCTTAACCTATGAAGTGGATGGGTTTATGGTTTTGGGGTTCCTTGGTCGATAACTTCAGGCCCCAGAGCACGAGACGTCGGGCTGCTCAGTGGAAACGCCACAACACCGATGGGAGGATCGGTGCCCTTCCTCCGCAAAAGGATTCGGTTCCTTCCAACTTCAGTGTTCACCGCGGAGGCTTTGAAAGGACGAAAAGGACGTTTCAGAAACAAAGGACGAAAAGCCCGCAGAAACTGATCCGTTTTGGATGGATTTTGTACTGTTGGTGCGTGTGAACTGAAGTTTCGCGATGGTAGGGGTGATCAAATCCGGATTGTGCCACATGAATAGATGCCGCAGGGTTGCATGAGAAGTGAGGGCCAAGGTTGAACACTTCTAGTTTATCGAATATGTGATATCCACTTGTGCTGAGACTATGCATGAAATGCAATTCTTTCCTTTTTCGTGCTCAAGTCACAATCGCAGCTTTAGGTAACACTCACTTGCGGCTATTTTATACATTAGTGTTTGATGTGTTTGTGTGGCATCCAGATTTTTCAGAATGTGTGTTTCATTGTTTGGTGATTCCATACACCTGTGCGAAGCTCGATCAGCTTGGTGCTTAGTGAAGTGCCCCCGCAACAAGCCGGCGGGGCTTCAGTGGTAAAGGCAGTCGGGAGGCTGGGCCATTGGGGCAGCGGTCTCGCGACATTTGAGGGTGGTGGTCTTGGGGATTGATCCATGGGGTGGAGCTTCGGCACTTCTTGGGGTGAAACGGAAGCAGATTCAACGGACGTATCCAGGCCTGTCACTATCAAGTCGAGGCTGAAAAACCTACAAGTCACCCTAAACACACCAAGGGTGTGGTTGGCCCTTGTTAATGGTCTCCGTGGTGCAGTGTTGGTATTTTCAGATCTTTGAGAGGAACATCCCGCCGGAGTCTTTCAATGCATGCTGCGTGTGGTTTTTTGGGGGGCCAACTCCGCAAAACGCCAAAGGAAGCCAGAAGTCCATGATTTCATACGGTTCTTGATAAAATTTACTATGTACAACTGTCATAGCAATATTCCTTTGGCAGCAAAAATGGAAAAGTTCATCATGGGACGGTGTCATAACATCTCCCATGTCATACTGTTTGCATCCTTGGGGTCGAAATCATGGCTCCGTAGCTCGCTTACGCCGCTCACTGCCCGGCCAGGCATGAGAACCATCGGCTGCAGTTTTGTCTTGCTCGTCATAAGCTTGGCAGAAGGCGCCCCGGTCGTGGGCCTGTCACGTCGGCCCGGCGCTTCACGCCGCCTGGCAGAGGAAGCGCGGCTCTACGGAGATCTTACGAGGCTCATGGCCTTTCATGCAGACATCCTGGTGCCTTGGCAAGCACACCGTGAAGGGGTGGGTTCGCCGTTCTGGTCGAGCCTGAAGTTGACGAAGAACCGATTCGGCGATCCGTTCGAACTTCACTAGCAAAAGCGATGTATAAACCTTTGTGTGCAAAAGCCCACTTGTAAGCCTTTGTCCACTTCGAAGTCAGCATGATAGCGATGATAGCATGTTCTACGGTGAGGATCACTGAGAAGTGAAGCTCACTTGAGTGTTGCAAATGTTTTTGTGCTGACATGCAGGTTGACAGTCATGGTGTCAAGAGTCTAGCAAGCAATGTGAGATGCCGCACGATGTTGAAACCCTGCCAAACGATAAAGGATGTTGCACATTGCAAAAAAGTGGCCAAGCGATAACATTTTGTGGGAATAGTGATGTGCGAAGTTTATACATACCCAGTCGAACCAGACAATGTGGAGAATTGGAAGCTTCTTTAGGCATTGAAACATGGCCGATGCAACACCTACTGTTGTTTTTCGCACATGATTCCAGTTGTTCGCCGCGCTGCCACTGTCCGGTGGCCTTGAGGTGGGTACTCCGGGGCAAATACAATCCGTGATCGTGGACACTGGCTCAGGGCGAACCGCTTTCCCCTGCACCGGCTGTGGTAATGGTTGCGGAGAGCGGCCTGGCGCAAGCGAGCGCAAGAGAAACCTCATCATGTTCGACTCTAAGTTCTTTCCAGCTATATAGTTGTCCTGTTGACTCGCCTCATTCTAAGAGAGGTGATTGTCTCAGAAGTCAAGCTTACAGATGCAAGCTACAAAGAAAGAAAAATGCGAGGATGCACGAGATGCCGACTACAGCAGTGCTCAAGCAGATACAGCAGTGGCATGTTGAACCAATATCACCTTCAGGAAAGCTGAAGGGGTAACTCCAGGACGCCTTCATGTTTGCCATATTTTGCCAGTACCTGCCAGTGGCACATTGCCAGTGAAACCCGCCATGACCTTCCAAGGCACATGGACCCGCCCTTCAATCCACAGTCCTCAAGCACATTTCGGTGAGCCTGACATGCTTGGGATCCGCCATGCGACAAGGATGTGCCAGGGGCATCGAAGAGCCTTTTCAACGGGACCAGAGGGACTAAGATGTCGAGGCAAGTTCAGGGAATTTCCTATGCTGGGGATGTTGCAAAGAAAGTAAGATCAGAGACGTTCAGAGACCATCATTTACAGATAATCATTCAGGATGCCCTCTATTTACCTTGGAATCCCGAATGGAAAATGAATAATATCATACTGTAATAGGAAGATGAGTGATAGAAATGATAGATTCCTAAGATATTATGAGTAAAGAATACCAGAATCAATGGGTTTTTGTTACTACTATGGTTTGATGTTTCTGATTTTGCACGTCCTATTTGTGTATGTTGCTGTGGTTTTAAGATATGCTTGTTTGATTGGTTGTTGCTTCTGGATCCAGCCGCCGTCTTTTCCAGGATCGGAGATTAACAAAACCCCTGAATACACATGTGGAGAGGACAACGCACAAAAAGTACCTATCTTTAAAAGATCCTGCCATCCGATTTCAGGATGGATAAATGGCATTTTTGGGCAGAATGAGAAGGCATCCGGTTTTCGGTGTTCGCGGAACAAGACATGATTGTAACGCGCTGACTGCCTGGGTGATGATGTGTTTCGTGTGTTTGACTACTATATGCCCCAAGCCTATGGCAACAAAAACGTAAAGAAGGGCTGGGGAATCCAAGCAGCAAAGGCATGCAGACCCCCGAGTTCTCCTCGATCAGTTTTAGGACATCTGGCCTGACCATCCGATGCTTCCATCTGCGGATGAGGAATGCAGGACTCATCCGGTCCTGTTTCCGCGGCCTCATGCCAGGTGGGTCCAATGCGGCGAAAAGGGCTGTAATTCGTGTTCTGGGAGCAAGTGCAGCTACAATGTGCGCTATGTGGAAGGCTCCTCCATCAACGGGGAGTTTTTTGAAGATGTGCCATGGCTCTAGTGGGACACGTTCTTTCCACATATAAAGGGGGAAGAGCATCTGCCAATCAGTATATATATATATATATATCCCTACAAGTCAAAGACCTCATTTTACTGGAGATGGTCATACAAACCAATACTTAAGGAGGTAAAAGACAAGGTTTTATTGGGTCTTTGGACTTGTAGGTATATTAACAGAGAGAGAGAGAGAGAGTGAGGGAGAATATATGAGAATATATTATCAGAGCTCTTGGTGACCATCATCGTCAAATGTCGAGAGCTCGTGACCTTCATTGGGCAAAACAGCATTCACCTTTTAAAGGGGCCGTTCATCATTTTTTGAGGGTGAATTGTGTGGGATTTGGATCTGAAAGGTGCTCACACAGCGACAAAAGTGGAGTTTCTTTCATTGGTCTTGCTTGAAGTGTGATGTCCTTTGCATTCAGATGGGTTCAGAGTACCCTTTGTCTTCCTATGGATCACCAAGGCATACCAGGACCACTGGCACCATTTTCTCTAGGGTAAGTCTGTTCAGGTCACAATGGCTCCACTTGAGCCAGGTGTCGCTCCAGGATGCGGATAGGATATTTTGCCGGTTTGATGAACGGCCAATCACCTTCGTGTTCCTTGAAAACGCTGGCTGAAACGCCGGAAGACCTGCAGTTTTTGATCAAGGACGGTTAAAAAAACGGAGAGTCGGAGAGTTGAACTCAATACCAAAAGATGGGGACATCCTCATCCTCCCCAAAAAGATGCCCAAAAGGGAAGGATGGACGGTCAGCCACCGTTGTGTCTTCCCGAAGATCCAGTGGAATCGGCCCGACGTTCTCCCGGAAGTTCGCCTCGGATCACTATAGCGGCGCCTGTTGTACTTGGGGAGCCTGTCCAAGGTGACATAGAAGAAAAAGCACATCAAGGAAGACCAGGTAATGAAAAGGCAGATACAGTGGTTTCACAGTATATAGATGGCACAAACCCGAAGATGTCTTTCTCTTGGGGGCCCAAACGTGGCATTTCTCACCTCTGAAACCAGTGTACCTCACTTGGGGATCTCCCTCAACCACGTCTTGCAGCTGGGGGTGGCTTTGAGGTCTTGCAGCTGGGAGTGGCCCAGCGCGCCACTCGGGACGAAGATGGACAGAGTTGGATCGAACGAAGTTGGATCAGCTGGATGGGGTTTCAGAAAGCAGGCTGGAATGCAAGGCATTACAGTATATAGAGCCATGGAAGTATCTGTCTGGGGAAGTGTTTGAATAATTCAACTTTTGGACGCTTCATTCAGCTGTTTCGGTCTCGTGGGGGTCTACGGCTCCTAGGTCGCGCCAGTCGCCGAAGAGGTCGAGGAAAGAACGAAGGTCGTGTTTGTTTGGGCCTTCACCGTCCTCGTTCGGAGCCGTTCGGACGTGACTCGTTCGGGGCGGCATCGCGAACGGAGCCCGGAGGCTCCGGTGTTCACCCCGGACCGGTGCGGCGAACGACCCGGTGGACCGGGTTTCCTGTCGTCGGTCGGGGACACCCACGGCCGAGGCCAACCAGAGAGGCCCTGTTTGGATGGGATGTCATTCCCAGGAAACGATGCAATTCCGCACGCAGGCGCTCAAGGGGGGCGCTTTCCGCCAGACGTGTTGACAGACCCACGAAGAAGGGGCAAAGTGGCGGGACGTTTTGGGGGTGGGGGTGGCGATGGGGATGAACAGCGAGGCTGAGGAGGGACGAGCATGGTTCAAGGGGGGCAATGCATTGGATTGGCCGGGGCTAGCGTGCAACACCCAGGGATTTTAAGATGTCCTCAAAGACAAACAGCGTTCAGGTGTCGAAGAGATGGTTGAGTTCAGCAGTTTTGAGGACCTCCCTTAACACCAAACTGTGAGATTCCATCACTGGTGCGTTTGGGCAATCACCATCATGTGCCGTACCTTTGCAAGATTTCATCCAGAAAAAAAGGTCCTTCAGGACTTCGTGAAACAAACTGAACCCATTGATTTATGGACAGAGTGTCATTAAACTTCCATCCTTCATCCACCTTCCATCCTTCAAGTCGAAAAACCTTCAATCATCCCAGCACCCCACCAGTGCCCCGACTCGGAAGACCAGCTGTTGTTCGTGGGCAAACGGGTCCGGTCACTCGGTCACTCGGTCAGGCTCCAGCCGGCATCATGGGACTCAATGAGGGCGGATGGGATGTGGTGAAGGCCTTAGCGGTTCCTTGGCCGTCCGTTACGGTGGTCCGTCCGTTTCGGTGGTCCTTTTCGAAAAGGAGGTCCCTGCGTCCTTCGAAAAGGCCGTTCTGTTGTGCTGTGGAAAAAAGAACATCCTTCAAAACTAAAACGTTTGTCCGACCTGTACGAAGCATCATCATCCACTGTTACAGGTAAAAGGATAGACCCAATTCAAAACGTGTTGTTCCCCCCCGGTGCTCGGTTGGCCCACGGGCGGCCCTGGCCGCGCGCGGCCAGAGCGCTGCGACTTTTCGGCGGAACCGGTGGGTCTTGTCCATCGGAACGGAGCGACGAGGGGAACTGGAAGCCATTTTTGTGGTCTCGGAGGGGAGGGATGAACTCTTGGTCAATAGAGAACTGTTGGTCAATCAAACCTCATTCCGGTGGAGATGTGTTTTACATTCTAAAACCCATCTACCGGTAGGCTTTGGTCCATTCCGTCTATTCCTGGGCCATTGTCCTCCATCCGAACCGTTCGGCCATGAGGAGTGATGTTTCGAAGTCGCGAGCGTCGCGGGCGCGGCGCCGATCCGAAGGATGGACCTTTGGAAAAGGAGATCTTTGCTTTGTGCCTGGCAGAAACCTGGCAGAAAGCCTGTGAGCCGCTCCGAGATATGAGATATATATGACATGATATGAATCATATTAATATGTCATTGACCTGGGTTCTCCTGATGTTCCGTTCAGTCCGTTCAGTCCTTCAGGTCAGGTTCTTTTGGGCTGCCACTCCACTCGATTCTGCTTCAGCTCACGTTCTTAAAGCTTTTCACACCCGACTTGTAGCACAAAAGGTCTGGGACGAAAGAACGGTCCCAGTCATGTTGAAGTCCCATGTGTTCATGGACCCCTGGAAGTCCGGACGGTGGTCCGGACCCGTCTCACACCCACTCACCTTTCCGGTTCTGTCTTGGTCCCCCGAACGGTCCCCTTGGCGTCCTTGGGCGTCCGTGTGTCTCTCTCTCTCTCTCTGTGCCTGGCTGAGTCCCGCCGTCCGTCGTCACAGAGAGACAGAGACAGAGACCTATCTCAGGAGAATGGTGGATCCATGACCCTGGGTGGCACGCACCACGGCGGCACGGGGTTGACTCCCCCACAGGTCCTACCCTGTTTCACTCGCAGCTCTGGGCACTCCTGGTTGCTTTTTGCAAGCGTGCTTGCAACGGGTACCTCTTGAGTGGACGCCCATGTTCATCGGGGTTTGTCATTTCGGTATCATGGATAGCCCGATTGCATCGCTATTGAAGGACAATGAAAGACATGTTACATGTTCACACCTTGTGCTCCAAAAATCACCAAAACAATAGTTAGCTTAGAATTTGGAATCGCCTATCGAAACCCAAGATCGAGACAGTGCAGTGCCAGAACCATTTCCTCGCTTTTGGACCGCCGAGTTGGACGCCGGAGTTGGTCGACGGACTGGGCATCCTTTGGATGAAACGATTGTTTTTTCCAGTCGAAGTCGAGCCACCGTGCTGACTGTCTGACCCTGTCTGACCCTGTGGGCTGTCTGACCTGGCAGATTGCGTGCAAAGTGGTGGCACGTCTAGGTGAGATCTGGATGTGCGCATTCGCATTCAGCCATAAATAAATCTTTGTAGTCTGGAGTCTGGGAAATGCCACACTGAGGAACAGCACCTGGATGCCAACAACCGTGCCCTTTCAATGGACCCCATACAAGACGAATTATGTCCTTGACCTCAATGGCATCAACTTCGGCGGCCTGGAGCTCTTCTCCGGATTCGTTGGCTCCTTCCAACTGGACCCGGTTCAGCGGCACAAGATGTTGCGGCACGGTGGGTGTGTTCGATAAAGCGGCCATTCGGCGGCCTTCAACAGTCATTGGACCTTCTCCCACCTTCCAAGCCATTGTTGCACATGGATGCCAAATCTGTTTGTAAAAATTCATGGGCATGATAGTGATGAAAGGACCATCTACCTGTCCGATTCTGTTTGCTCAGAATTTGAGGACCGACCGTTGCTTCACACGGGTTCTTCAGACCGAACCAGGAACACCAGCAGCAGCAGCAGCAGCAGACGCCGAAAAAGACGACTTCCGTAGTACGGCTCCACGAGCTACTTCCGCCGTTCGCAGGACTCCGGAACGACCTGGAGCTACTTCCCCCGTGCTCAGTCCATGAAGCTGGAGGACCGTTTTTCGTTGAAACCCAGAGGGTGAGGAAGGGTCGACCAACAGAAGAGACGCAGCAGGTGCCGAAACCCGGAAGGGTTGGTTTTCACCCTGCAAATCCTATGCAAAATAGCCTGGTGCCAAACTTGTACATAGCTTGTACAGATACCCTCCATCCAACAAACATGGAAGATCATGGAAGTGGAACATCGCCCCTTGGAAGACGGTTTTCCCTCTACGAACAGGCTGTCTTCCACTTCCATGATTGTTTCAGGGAGGGTAAACAATTTGGTGTGTTTCTCGCTTGCTAGCTGCCCCTGGGATCAACATCATGTTGGATGATGGGTGCCAAAGCTGATTTGGAAAGCAGTTCTTTGCATTGCCTGGATAGGACGCCAGGCCTCCCTGAATCACTGGGCGGTCGCTTCTAGGTTTCTAAGGAACTTCTTCGATACACCACACGCACTGCGGACCGAAGTTGATGCGTGCCCCGTGCTCGCCTGCGGCACGTGCGGTGGAAAATCTGGCCAACTGGGTGTGAAATCCGTCTCTGGACATTTGGTTTGGAGAGCAGATCCAAAGATCGCAAAGAGGCCCAAGCAGTTGGATCCTGGAATTCAGCACCTTAAGCCACCTGGAACTCCTTCTCTTCCTTCTCTTCATCCACCCAAGTCCACGAAACATTCTCGGCATCTCGGCGGTTTGTGCTTTCCGCGGGTGGGTGTCACCCTGTTTCGAACCCCTCCAGGAGGCCATCCGAGAAGCTGCAAAGGAGCGGCAGGTCACCTGGGTCTCCATCAGTTGCCTGGAGGCAACGTCACGACGTCTCATCCGTCTCATGGGCCCCAAGTCGTCCCACCGCACCGCGCCCGGGTGCGCGGTCGAGTTCCACCGGAGAGGGCCATGAGAGGACACCCCTCCTGGCTGGAGAGGACAGAGACTTGTGAATTGGGGTCTCAGATCCGAAGGTCGGTTTTGAAGCCCACAGGGCTCCGGTCAGGGTTGTTTTGGGATGCTTTGGGCAGGGGACGTTGATCTCTGTGGCAGATCCCTGGAGTGACAGAGCTGTTGCTCATTCACATCGGTGTTTGACCTGATTGATGGCAGAGAGGAGAGGTGTTTAACTTTAGGTATATAAGTTCATCGGCGTTACATCGGTCTCAGAGTAGGTGGCACAAACTCCAAGAAAATCCTAGACAGTTCTGGGTTCATATGGGTTCATAATGGTTGATATAGAAAACATATAAACCACCCTTTGGGGATTGTGCCATCTACTCTCAACTGACTATATATGATTATACATGAACCCTGCTGGGCTGCGAAGATGTGCCCCCACCAGGGCCTCAACAGCAATAAGTAGTGGACAGCAGGGACCAGCGCAAGCCTCATTGCTGGTGAAGTCAAGTCGCCTGTGAAACGAGAAGAATTGATTCAAGATGATTCAAGCTACTCGCAGGGTGTTTAAAGGCCTCCATCGATCGGGGGTGGGCCTAATAAAAGAGATACAGTAATACAGTATTGAAGATCAACCAACTGATTTCATCCGTCCAACAAAACATGAAAGTAGAACAAGCCCGTCTTGCAGATGAGTTGGCAGCTTTCGAGGGGCATTTTTTGGCAGCATGATGGTGGGAGGACAGCCAGGATGGCTATGGTTATGCTCCTAACCGTCGAGTTGGGAAGATGAAACCCTCCAAATGGTCAGAAGGAGTCGAAGCTGGAACCAAGTGGGCCACGGGACATCAAAATCGGAACATGATAGAACGATCATGCATAAGCTGTGTCAGGTTGCACTTCCAGTTGCAGTAGCTGTACCGCTGCTAAGCCAAGCCACAAGTTATGCAGTGTTCCTTTGCTCTTTTTCTCAGAAGTGGGTGTTTTACCTTTAAACACTAAACACGACATGCAGAAGGTTTTCTCAGAAGGTGGTGCTTAACCGGCTTAACCCACAAAACAGAACATGCAGATTCAACAATGCTTGCTCTTAATGGGGATTGGCTCATCCTGAAGATCACTGCCGGGATCGGATCCGACATCAAAACACGTCAACCGCGCAGCCAGGGAGGAGCACAGGACATCTGACTGAGTGGAACGTCTGACTGACTGAACGAAAAGGGAAGCTGTGCATTCAATTACATAAAATGCGTTGCCCTGGCATGCCTGCCCCACCACCCTGGGATGCCTGGCCCGCCATTGGGTTTATCGAACAACCATTGTTTTACACAGGATTTGACTACAAAACCAGGTCAACCATATTCTCTAGCCTTCCTTTAATGGTCTTTGAAGGCTAGGGGTTGTGTATAGACATATGTGTATGTATATATATATGTGTGTGTGTGTGTTTGTGTTTGGTGTATCTAGGTGGTACATGTTTCTCTGAACGTTGATGATGCTCGATCGAATGGTTTTCAGAAGAAGAATGTGAAGACAGCGGAACTGCTTGGGAGGCCACAGAAGAGGAGATGGACCGCTTTCCGAATGCGACCTTCCGTTTCGGAAATGCCAACTACACTTGGCCTGCCAAGGGGTACATGTCTCCTGGAGACAATGGAGAGTTCGCAGGGGTTGCTGTGGGTGTGAGGGTGTAGAAGGAAAAAAGCGGTGTGTGACACTGCATTGAACATTTGTTCTGCGTTGCTGTGGCGCAATCAATGACGGGCATATTGGCACCTTCAGCACAAGGCCACAAGGCCATTCTTTTGCCTGTTTCTGTGTACTTTTCGCCAGCCTGCCTTCAGGTTCTTGAAAAGCACAAACACTTGGTGCTTCTCATTCTTTACTGCCCCACCCTTTCTGCTGGGAGCCTCCTTCATGATGAACAATGCCATTATTTTCGACCGAGAAGAGAAGAAGATTCTTGGCAGCATCGCTAGATAGGGCTTTTGTTTTTTTGAGTGGCTGCAATTGCTGCTGGTACAGATGACGTCTTGTTTCCTTTTCGCTTGGACATAATATAATCTTTGTTGGGACTTGGTTTGGAGGTGAACTCTTCGTGACTCCCCACGTTTTTCGCACCAAGGATAGGTTTTGCCCCATCCAGCTGCCCGCGCTTTGTCTCGCGCAATGACCTGGCACCTGGAATTGAGGAGAGCAAAAAACACATGGAACCCCTCAAATTGCCAAATCGACTGCTTTTGGCAAGAATACATGATAAACACATACAAACCTGGTTTTGCTGCTTGCTTAGGGTGATGTGCTGTTTTATCCTTTGAGTGAATCATAGTGAATCCCCTTTTGGGGAAGCCGCTTAGCTTGTTCCCAGTTCCTTGACTTAAGCAAGACCAAGAGTATATACTGTAGTTATGTATACCCTGCAAGTCAAAGACTATACCAAGAATGGTCTTTATGGGATCTGAAAAGGAATGTCCTTTACTTCAATCAAGGAAAGTATAGTCTTTGGACTTCCAGGGTGTACAGTAATATATGTGTGTGTGTTGTTGTTGGAGGTTGAGACGGGTCGCACGCTGCAGCTGCACCGTCCGTGGTTGAAGTTGGGTCGTGGTCGGTCAAAACAGGGTCGGGGCGTCTCGGCAAATACGTGTACTGCAGACCCTTCAATAGGTTTCTTTTGGTTTTCTGGAGGTTGTGTGAGTTTCGTCGCATGGTCCAAGCCCTTTTGAAAGGAATTGCCCTCGAGATATCAAAGAAATCCCATATACACTCCCTGAAATAGTCATGGAAGTGGAAAATAGGCTCCTGGAAGAGCTTTTTTCTCTACAAACAGGTCATGTTCCACTTCCATGTCAATGCCGAGGCTCCAGACTCCCGACCTCTCAACTCCTTCTCACGAAATCGACCTCTCAACTCCCTCTCACGGTCAGGAGCTGAATGGCCCAAGCCGCAACGCCGCCACATCCTACAGCGAAATTTCGTTTGCATGGCCTCAACGATTTCTTTCAAGATGGCTACCATGGACGCTCATGGTGCCATGGGCCATCGCGGCGATCGATCGATGCGATCGAGCTATGTAGCGTAGCGCCCCGCTGCCGAGAAAGGACCCGGGACTTCCCGGATGAGAGAGGAGATCTCGGCTTGGACCGTTCTTTGGCATATCCAGGGTGGGACCGTGCTGTTCCAGCAGGTGACCTGTCAGTCGGACCCGAGTTTCTCGGATCTCCATCTCTCGGCTTTAGTTCCTGCCAGGCGGATGTTTGAAGAGGATCTATATGCCTCACCTACCGCCTCTCCCCACCTCGTGATGAGATGCAGAGCAGCTAAAAATGGGCTGCACTAGGCACTTGAATGAGGCGGGGCCACTGGGGTATAGCTCTTCTTGAACCCTTCCAATTCTTGATTCCAATGGCTTTTGTGGATAAGCACACTATTTTAATTCGCATGCTGTTTTATTCATACATGATGAGGTGGCCCCTCGCACAGCCATGCGAATGGATGTTTTTGCACACTCCGTCGCTCAGAAGGGGTCCACCGCGGGTCGGAGTGACGGTGTGCCAACACCGTGCCTTACTGCCTGTAGAGAGAAGCATGACGAGCAAACTAATGCCTGCGAAGGTTGCATGCCGAGTGAGGTGGCCCATGAGTCAGCGTGGCTCTTGCTGCTCAAGCGGGATTGCCATTACGTCCTTGCACTTCACTCCAACGAGGAGAATGGCATAGTATGTAGCATGTTGTGTAGCAAGGTTGCAAGGTTCAACGGTTTAACGTGATTCCCCACATGGTAAGAGCTTGAAATTGTAGGAATGTGAACTGCAATTTAAACAGCTGCCGAGTACGTAGTTGATATCTCGGGTCATTGTGCGCATTCTGTACGACATGCGGTTTGAGAACCAATCTGCAGTTGCCTGGCCTAGTTTGAATTTTTGGACTGCAAACGCCTAGCACAGGGTCAGGTGTTCTTCTGCATTTCTTTGCCAGCTTCCTGGGTGCATGTTTTTGAAGGACAAGATGGGAACCCACATCAGCTGCTTGCCAAAGTGCTGTACCATCCGCCCCTCACTGGACTGCCAAAGGTCAACTACAAGCATACAAGAAGCGCCCAAAAAGCAGCATAGACTCGCCTCAATGCGCCAACCTGTTTTGCTTCAAAGGTTTGCCATGGTTGTTTTTGTGAACGAAAGCAGTCAGATTTGTTTGGCTTGTGAAAGCAGCCAGGTCCATGGCATATAAAAATGTTACAGGTTTGTCCGCAGAGGTTCTGGCAATCAAGTATGATTGAAGGATCACCGAAGCAGCGATCAGCTGGCTTTTGTGGGTGAGACGTTCCTTTGGCAGTCTCCAATTGGCAGAGAAAAGCATAGGGGTGACTGGCCACTGTTGTTGTCCGGATCTTGCTGTCCAAGTTGTTTCGCTTGGCAGTGCTCAGATGTTTGTGTCCATTGTGCTGGTTCTTCAAAGGCCATGTGGCTCTAATGTCTTGACACCAATCAAGTTCTTTTTGCCCACTTCCAACAAATCTTTGGATACGGGCTCCGCAGATCACGTTCAGAAAGAGAAGATGGAAAATGATTTTTCGAAGTGCTGCGCGGGCACCGCCTTGGGATGTCACTTCAGCATTCCTCCGAAGAACCGCAAGGCGAGTCTTTGCCTTGAGTCTCGTGGGCTGCCGATCGGTTGCCGCATGCCGCCCGCGAAGTTTCTCCGAAAGGGACTGACCTCATGAAGTGGCAGTTCTTCCTCTGGTCTTGCAGTCACAGTATTCCAAATCACCTGCAGAGTGTGCCACACCGTTGTTCACACGGTTGTACGGCTTCGGGTCGAGATGCTTGCCCAAGGGACTTTCGGGTTTGATCAGCGGAGGTTGGATCCTTTTAGGACCTGGGCTTCAGAAAAAGGGACTTTGGGAGAGTATACGACAGTCAGGATACTCCTAGAATACAAATACATGAGTGTTGTGACGTGTGTCCCTCTTTGGCTTGTTTGCAGCTCGAGGAAGCCTTGAAACGTCCTTGATTCTACATGTGTGAACATGTTGAGGTATGTTGAGGTATCGCACAAAACGTGGTGTAGCTGCAGCGATGTGCAGCTTGATGAATGCCTTCGCGCCCTTGAACGATCGACTCGCTCAAGATCGGATCCAGAGCCCACAGAGGGCTCCTTTCCGCGTGCGGTGGCGCACATGGAGTGACCCTTTGAAGGTCCTTTGTAGGGGGTCCTTGGCCCTTGGGAAACCTGGTCAATGACAAAACTAAACACCCTGCCAGCCCGGCACTCAGCCTTACAACGAATCTGAGGCCAATGGAGCCAAAGTTGCAGGGCATGGAGGCCACAGAAGCATTTTTGCTCTGTGCTGGCTTAATCTTTTCTTGGATGGGAGTGGGAATAGGTCCTGGTCCAAAAATGAATGGCTTGAGATGTTCCCCCCCAATAACAGTTCAAAAAAGGTTTTGCTACATATCAGCTAACCAAAATGAGCACCAGGAAAATGCCTCCAAATCACTTATGGGTTTTCCATCAGGTGTTATAGCTTGAGATAAACAGCTTCCAACTGTCACAAGCCGGTGCAAGCTGATAAAGGTTTGCTTTGACATTGAGAAAAGAAGGTTCAAAGCTGCTCAAGCGTTCAAAGGCCGCCATGACAAGGTTCATTGAACTTTGAGTTGGAATGTCTCAAAGCAATGAACAGCTCAACGAAATTCTGGGCCCATCGGAACGGCTGGGAGCGGTTTCTCCTCACGGGAAAGAAGGGAAAGGGCTGCATTACACTGCTGGTTGCCAGAAACAGCGTGAGATCATGAGCATTGAGAACCCATGGCAATGTGCCTGACACCGGCAGATCTTAGAATACACTCCCCTCCAACAATCATGGTTACATGGATGGCACCCCTGGAAAGACCATGAACTCCGAATACGTATGCCATCCACTTCCAGCATGTGTGTTGGGAGGGGTGTTCTTTTTGCCCTATGACCCCTGGAAAGAGCAGTGCCATCCACTTAACCATGTTTGTTAGGAGGGGGTATTCTTTTTCTTCCCATGATTTGTTTGGAAGATCTCCCAATCACCGCCCGACCCGGCGTCCGCCGTCCAAAAGCGCAACTCCAGACCTCGGCGGCTTCAGGCGAAGCGCACGAGGTGGAGTTGGGGCGTGAAAACGCGGTGAAGAGGGCAGTGTTCTTTTTTGTTGATGGCTGGGTTGAAGAGCATCAATATATGCATAAGAGCACCCTCCCTCCAACAAACATGGAAGTAGATGGGCACCTCCAGTTTGGTATTCGGATTTCATGGTTTTTCCATGTTTTTCCAGGGGTCATGCCATCCACGTAACCATGATTCTTCCGGGAGTGTAGCCAGGGTATATAAAGACTTCAGCGGAATGCCAACCTGGCAGGGCACCAGCTTGTTTGAGCAATGCAGCTGGTTCAGCCATCCCACTATGCAGCTTGCGCGGGCTGCTTTAGGGAATCTGATATGCCCCTGGACCCAAAGGAACTCTTTGGGCTTCAGGCTGAAGAAAAAAATGAAAACCGTCCATGTTGCTCCCAACCTCAGCATCCACCCATTGAAGGGCGTTTTCCATGCCATGACCTAAGCCGCCAAGCTTCCCGTGACGAATGATTGATGTGACGAACGTTTCATCCCGTCAGACGGATTTGTTTGAGCAAGATTTGCTTGAGGAATCCTACATGCTTCATGTGCACCACAACTTGTGGTTGCGATGCCTTAGATGGCTGGCTGGCTGGGTGGATGGATTGATGGATGGATTGATGTGTTTTGTCTTTGTCGGACGCTGAAGAGTCTTCATCGCGCTACCCACTCCTTTTCTGAGTGCAAATCCGCAGCATGATGACGCGAGCATCGCAAGCAGCTGTTGGAGCTGCTGGGATGGAATGGGGTCTGCTTTCGACCTGAACAAAACTGTGTGGCAGCCGTCCAGATGCAATCGGGCAGGGAAGTGAAGGGCCGTGCGGAGGATACCCATCCCTCTTCTCTACCCACTGGCCTGTGGGCAGTTTCAGAACTGCCATGTAGTGACCGCCATCGCGATCACCGAAGTGGGCCAAACTGGTCTTGTCGGGCTCGGCAACTCAATTTTCGGGCTCACAACCACTCTGTCGGCTTCAGAAATATGTTCTACGGGTTCAGAAACTAGTTTTGTCGGTTGCAGAAACTACGGGTTCAGAAACTAACCGTGGCGGTTTCGGCAACGAGTTTCCAACTCAGAGACCCTGTGTTTTTTCTCTTGGGGCCCACTGATTGCTTCAGGTACGTGGAGCGGGTGGGGGGGATATTGAAGTAATGTGTATGTGAGCAAACCTT